GGGGGGGGGGGGGGTGGAAAGATGTACCCCTGATCCTAATCTACTATAACCACCACCACAACTATAAGGTGTATGTATGTAAACCTACCCCTCTCTCTACACTCGATACGAGCGGGGACTTGTTAAGCAAGTCTTTGAGAATATTGCTGTGCTGAGACTGTACATTGTGCTGTGCCTGTACACTACCCGGTGTGTGTACAGCAGAAGTGGGTTGTACAGCTGTATTCACTACCTGACTTGCTGTAGTCCTGATGAGGGTCTGCTGCTGACCAGCGTTGGTCTGGATCATTTGGCCCTGGACCATGACCTGTCCTTGTGACTGAACAAGGACCTGTTGACCTCCAGTTTGACCTCCGGAGATGACCACGCCGCCCTGGATTATCCGAGGTTGTTGGATAACTTGAGTTGGTTGAGAGATTATTCTTTTAATTATTTGTCCTTGAGAGTTCACAACGTTTTGAACAACTTGTCCCTGCTGTAGCATTTGTCCTTGCTGTAGCACTTGTCCTTGCTGTAGCACTTGTCCTTGCTGTAGCACTTGTCCTTGCTGTAGCACTTGTCCTTGCTGTACAATTTGACCCTGTTGTACTACCTGACCTTGTTGTACTACCTGACCTTGTTGCACAAGTTGTCCTTGTACGATTTGGCCCTGCTGTAGTACTTGTCCTTGCTGTACAACCTTTCCTTGTTGATTTATAACTTTGCTTATAACTTGGCCTTGTTGGTTTACAACCTGCATCATTTGTCCTTGTTGCTGCACAATATGTCCTTGTTGCTGAACAATCTGTCCTTGTTGCTGCACAAATTGTCCTTGTTTTTGAACAATTTGTCCTTGCTGAACGATCTGTTGTTGCTGAACAGGTTGTCCTAATTGATGTCCATGCTGGATCTGATTATTCTGAATAGCTTTCTGTGGAACAATTTGGTGTCCTTGGATCATTGGAGGCTGTTGCTGAACAACGTTGGGCTGCTGAACTAATTGCGGTTGTTGCTGGCCCTGTACAGCAACATGCTTAACAAGCTGCGGTTGTTGTTGAAGAAGCTGTTGCTGAGACTGGACAACATTAGGCTTTAATTGTTGTTGAAGAGGTTGTTGCTGTTGTTGTTGTTGTAGCAGAACCTGATGTGTTTGTCCTGGTGGTTGATGAATAGTGACCTGACTACCCTGCACCCTGCTAGCCTCCTGAGCAGCAGCTGCCTGGGCCGGGGTCAACTTCAAGGGTAGAGGTTGTTGACGGACCTGAATACCGGTGTAATGGTTTTCTATCCTCTCTCCAACCTGCTTCTTGTTAGGTCCTGTGCTTCCACCGAACAATGTGCGGATACAGAGAGCGTAGTGCTGTGCAGAAATCACCTCTTTCCTCCCCATCCGGTGCATCGAGGCCAGGTACTGCTTATACATGATGTTCTGCTCAATACTTTTACCAGGGGAGGTCTCGTAGGTGGCCTTTAGCCAAGAGAGACAGAATATACGGTGGGGCTCATCGTTGGACACTTTGAGCTGAACTTGTTGGGAGCCGGGGGGTGGAAGCTGAGGTTGAGGGGGAGGAGTTATTGATGGACCAGCAGCACGAGGAGTTGGAGGGAGGGGCTGCTTGGGTAAACTTGTGTTATTAGGTAAACTTGGCGTAGTGTAGGGAACAGGTTTGGGTGTGGCGGCTTGAATGGTTGAGGGAGTTGAGGCGGGAGGTGGAGCCGAGTGGGTTGGCACCGCTGGGGCGGAGGTGGGCTGAGACCCGGGCTGGGGTACAGTTTCCACAACCCGCATGAGAATGCAAGCTTTAGGTCCATAGCTCTGCGCTTCAACAGTCACCAGACTGACCAGCAGCTCAATAGCACTGTGAGTCTTCACAATAGAATTACAAGGCTGTTCTCCAAGAGAGGACAGTGAAAACAGGCACTCAAGTGTAGCAATCAGTAGATGAATATCATGCAGAGATAGATAATCAATCAACTGGCGGTAGACCGAACTATCTAACAGCTTATGAAGGAACTCTTCATTGCTCTGCATCCCGCACAATTTGTTGAGAACGTCCAGGGAGGAGATGACCTGGAACCTGTCCTGGTCACCAATGCATTTCGTTAGAGACTTAACCATCAGATCTGTTACAGCGTCCTCGCTAGGTTCTTCAAGTTGAATCTCGGACGCAATGTTGGAGAGAATATCGAACCCGGTCTGGTTGAGATTACTCCAGGAGGAATTGACACAGAGGAGGACAAACCTGAGAAGGGTTAGATTCTTAGCCAGGACGGACACGTTCTCCTCCTCGAATGAAATGTTTCTTAATATTGTTGCGATCTGAAGAACACGTTGCCCCGTCGGCTCCCTGGTTCCCTCAGATCTTCCGACAGCAAACAGTTCAGCATCACTGTCTGTTACTTCATGGCGTGCACGCGCTTTGAGCTGTTCGAGACGACCCTGTGCGCTTTTCTCTGTGTACTCCACGCTATATTCCTCCGCAAAGAAGTTTACCGTCTCACTGGGCTTCGGGTAAAAGTTTTTCTCGTCGTAAATAAGCTCAAGAACGGCGGAGTTACGGCACACATCCTTCCAGAACTTAACTTGGTTGTAGTTGCGTACCGTTGTGTAGTTCTCATGGATGTAGTTCCGAAGGTTGTCTGAAAATTAATAAGTTATTAATGACTGGCAAAGCAAGCAAAGCCTTGATTAGAGACAGTGAGAAAGATTTTAAAAATAAGCAGTGGAATTACCGTAGTCTTCTTTTAATAAAAAATGTCGCTAAAAATGTTGTAATTTGTAGCTGGTGTAATTACAAAATGTGTCGTGAAATACAAAGTATCAAGTCAATGATGGCAAATTTACCAATCTTTAGTAGTGACACTTCATATCTAGAACAAAGACGACTTTAATTTCACCGATTTCTGGATCTGACTGTATGAAAAGAAAGAAGATGAACCATGATTAAATAAAAAAATTAATGGGAACTACAGGGTGTCTTACATCATATAAGATCGTCAATGGGTCTAAATTACGATTTTCGGGACTAATCGGAAAATTCAAGAAGGATGAATCATTTGAAAAATTTAGTAAGGCTAATAAAAAACATTTCTTGCAGAAAATGCTAGGTTTTTCGAGTATTATGAGTTTATTTGACGTTAAAGTTTGGAGCTAATCTAATATGATATGGGACGCTCTGTATTTTGTTTCTATTAGATGTTTACGTTATAAAAGTTCCTTCCCGGAACCAAGATTTTTTTTGAGGATTTAGCAAATTACAGGCAGTACAGTTTTTTTTGTGATACGTGGAGGACCGTGGATATTTTCCCCAAAATTTCAGCAAAAAAAAGTTAAATTACATTTAGTTAACTAAAACTTTCTAAAAAATGTTTATTTGGCGAAAAGTTAGATCCGCCTGTTGTATCGTTTATTGCAGGGGTAAGGGGGGGGAGATGATTTTTGATAAATTGAGATGAAGAATTGAACATTAAAAGGCAAGTTTTTTTAAAAAAATTCTTTTTGATACTAGTTTTCCCCAAATATATAATAACTTACGTAAAAAAAATATTTAAAAGACTGGAATAGGTACGGATCCGGATCCATTTTTTCCCAGTGCGGATCCAGGATCCGCATCCAAATTAAATGAGTCCTAAGCACTAGTCCTTCCTATTCCACAAATCTAATGATCCCACTTTATTAGATGCTAAATAGTAAATAACTTACGATGGTTAAAGACTCCAGCATGTGAGAGAAGTAGATCCAGAAGGCGCGGACATCTGCCCAGCTTCAAGGTGTGTCTCCCCTCGTTGCTGAGCAGGGTCGCCACGTTGATCGCAAAGTCCTGCTCGTTGGGTAGAGGGGAGAGGAGGGAGAGTGTGAGACGATCATAATCTGTAGGTTCGTATAGATCAGTACTCATACCATAATGGTTCCGTACAGTATCTGAACAGGATTATTTATAGATTATTTTATAAAATATATCTTATTTTTAAAGGGACCGTTCACTTATTTGGGTAATTTCAGGGTAAACTAAACAGCCTATTCGCTGTTGATTAGTAATAGTCTTACTTTTCAAAAACGACTGTGGCCGGACATATAATGACATTAAAATATAATAAATTTAAATGTTATTGGGCTGCTGTTACTGAAAAAAACATCAAATAGTGTCTATAGAGAGGGACCGTCCCTTTCCGCTCAAATTCTAGACGAAAAATCGGCTTTTTCTCCGGCCACAGTTGTCTTTGAAAAGTAAGACTATTACCAATCAAGAGCGAATAGGCTGTTTAGTTTACCCTGAAATTACCCAAATAAGTGAACGGTCCCTTTAATGAATAAATTTCAGGAATTATTTGATAAGATCCGAAGTTTGTACTGCCGCAGAATTTCGTCTGCAGTAACCCAAACATTAATTTGTTACATAAATATATAATCATTAATAACTTTAATATATCAAAAGTATATTCAAATATTATTAAAATAAATCAGGTAACCCAACCCAGCCAACCTTAGCTGAAAACTTTTGAATGAGATATCCTTAATCACGATCGCTTAATCTGATTATCCAATGTAATACATACAGACTTTTGATTTTCTTCTTATAATCCTCTTTTGGATATTTCTACTTAATAAAAGTTACGTTTGATAACAATTACAGATACGATGCTTTATTGATTGGACTAATATTCGATTGAATTAAAGTAAGCGGTTCACAAGCCAGCTTTTAGAGCATTTTAACAAATATAAATTCAATAATGTCAATATGAAATTATTAAAAAACATATTTTAGGATTATTGTCATTTTGAATGTTAGCTTAATAAACATTAATCCAAAACATACGTTCGTTCAATCGATGTTTAGTTCAATTGATATGACACCATCAACACCAGAAATCAAAACCGGTTTTTCACAATAAAAGGTTAGGAGTATATCTTGACATGACACGTTGATTGGTTAAACTTTTACTTCTTTCTAGGATATCGAATGCGTTTTAAAAATAATCTTGGGTTTAGTAAAACCAGGAGTTTAAGCATTAATCTTGATATCCACCAATCTAAAGTTTTCAGCTCTAAACAAACAGTAAAAGCTTCTCAAAGGTACTGTAGGCATACTTTTAAGCGACCCTCCATTTCTAGAGTTGTGTCGATTCACAACAGTTCCCTTTAAAAGGTAATAGCTGATCCTTAACTACAGCGATACTTGTAATCGTCAAACACGTGGTTTGCAAGCTGTTTTATAATTTAGAAATAATCTACGATTTTATTTAATGTAAGTCTACAAAAAAACATTAACATTTGAATATTTCAAATTTGAGTCGGATCACAGTCTGGATTTTCGAGAAATATGTCTGCTGTGTTGAGTTAACTAGCGTTCACTCTGTGGTTTTATGCTGTTACTACATCATTTTAGGGATAAGTGAAAGGTTTTATCGGACATTCCCCGCTTTGCATGGAAAGCCTCTTTATACAATCCCTTTGATGGTGTTATAAGTTGGTTCGAAAAAAATGAATTAATAAACTACAAAAAATGTGTTTGTTTTTATTTGTTCAAACCTGAAACTCTGTGTTGATTTTCATTATAAGTTGCTGGGACCGTAGAGACGATTCTCTGATGTCTGTGTCGTCTTGTCCTACTGTCTTCTTCGTCAAAAAATGACGAATTGTCGTCATCTTCGTCTTCACCAAGGAAATAATACTTCTCGTACGTATCGAGATACCTAAACAAAACAAATGTAAAACATAGTCGCCTTAATTTATTAGTATTTTTTATTTACAATTAACAACGGTTCTTTTTAATCAATTTGCCATTATGAATTTGAAATGAAATATATTTCTGACATTGTGGCATTTTCATGATGAGGTCGAAAACATGGAGAAAATAAACTACAGAATCTCCTATATTTTTGCTACCTGGGCGTAAAAACCTTTGATACTTCAAACTTTGATTATTTGATCAATCATAATTCATAGTTTGAAATATGTTAAGTCTATGACATTGGATTGCTAAGTGTTACGGATAAGAAAATCAGATTTTGACGAAAAGACTCGATTACTTTACGGATTTTTTCGGAACATGAAATGTGCATATGATTTCAGGTAAACTAATATTTTAACAGAAAACTAAACTTCAGTGTGGAGTATTTGAGAATAAATAAGGAACAGAAATGAAGAGAGTAATTATAAAACAGAAATCAAGAATTTAAAAAAAAATGGATGGATTCAAATAATTATTGTGAAAAAATATTAGACCTAATAATTCTTTTTCGTCAGAAAACCAACAGTTGGAGTTTAATGTCAGGAGACATACCTTGCACAGACAGGTAATGACTTGATCTTAAAATAAAAACAAAATATTTAATTTTTATTTCCCTACAATTGCCATAAAAACGAATTAAAGCTTATTTTTTTTCAGAAAGATTATTTTTTTCCTGACTCTGCCAGGGACCCAGCTGCTGGCAGGATGGCGGCCCAGCTTTCAAAGCTGTCTTCCACTCAGCTGTCAGACAGCTGTCGTCAGCCATTAATTTTCTCATTAAAATCAACTGACAAAATACGGTAAAAGAAACGGGGGAAGTTTATTTTTTGTTTAATTTATTTAGATGAATATTGCATTTATTTTACAATACGAGTTTAAAGATAGATAATTAAAACAATAGCTGATCAGTATTTATAGCTTATTTTGCTTACGAGAAAAAATCTCAGGAAAACCATAGCAAATTAAATTTCCGGCAGTGCAGTGCACTGCACTGCACTGCAGTCATGGCACGCTTTTAATCAATGGAATGCAAAAAGTTATCTTAAACGTTTAATATATTTTGACATAAAAGCCTTTAAACACCAACTTTATTGATCTGAATAGTATCAACGCAACAGTTTAGATATGGAATCAACGTAGAAGTAAGATGGCTTAAAGGTACTGTGGGCATAATTTTAAATATCTCTCCAGTAAAAGTTTACACAAGTACCTTCAAATCTTTACCTGGGCAACAATAAAAGATATTGAAGATGTTTTCTCTGAATGTCAAAATATGCATGAAACAATAAAGGTTCCTTTTACAAAATACTAGAAAACCACAATTGAAAAAGATTATTTTCGGGTAGCAAAATAAGGATTTCTAGATAATTTAATCGTAGACTAAAGGTACGGTTGTAAAATCGAGCAAGTCCCTTATTTAAACGGAGGTTTACTTGAAATTACGTATACAGTCTCCTTGATGAAGGTTCTGCAATGATTTCTACCACATAAGGGAAAGAAAAGAAAAAATCGATATAAAGCCTTAGTTTGATTGGGAAATACTTCTTAATGGGACTGTCCCCGTAATTTCAAGTGACCCCCCTTGAAAAGATATCAATGCCCGATTCACAACGGTTTTGTCTGATCTAAGTATGAATTAGATATCAATGTGTAAAGTTTTAAAGACAATTATTTTTGATTGTGGTTTCTCTGAAACAGGGACTTGGACATTTATAATGCATGAAAACAAGGAGGAATTATTAGACTTAAAAACTTCTAGTTTTAACCTAGAAAAACGACACCAGTTTCCACATTATTGATCAGATTAAAGTTCCAACTGTAAATCAACATTGTCATCTTTTTATTGAGGGTCACTTGTATTTGCGCTTAACAGACCCTTAAATTTGTAAATGAACCTTTATCAATAAAATAATTTATCACAATATAATAAAGCCCTTCACTCATATATATTTGTTTTTATGTCAGCTATAGCCGGCCAAACGGCTGGACCGAATGGGCCGAATATTTTTTTAACATGGGCTAAAAATAATTAAAAATATTTTTTCCCAAAAAAAGTTTTTATTTCAATTCGATTTTTAAAAAATTCACAGGCAACACCTGGCACTACAGCTAGTAATGTACATTTGTGGACAAATCCTTGGATTGAATTAACAACTCTGATAATAAACTTCAAAAGTTCTATTCTAACACTGGATAAGATAGTTACCTAAGATAAGTTTGCTTGAGAGCTAGCGACCCATTGGTAGTCCCAGATTCAAGGCCAAAAAACTCCAGAAGGTCCTCCCAGCCATTACTACTGTTAACCTGAAATATATGTTTTTGTTACCAATGCGTAGAATCCGGAACATTTGGCTTCCTGGATCCGGATCCGGATACCAACCAAAACTTGCTAAACATGTTATTTTTGCTCTGAAAACACAAATCACATCTGCTAATTAATGAATGACTTTTTAAACTTCATCATAGCAATAAAAATTCTTCTAAATTCTAAATTTTACTAGCATCTTTCAAAAAGAGGCGTAACCTGGAGTAGGTTTTAAAAATGTCACTTAATTCTATGTTTATAAAGAATTTGTTATTTTTTTTTTATAATCTTTGGTATAATTATTGAACGAATTTCTGGAGGAAAAGTGTATAATTCTGTTTTAAATACTATATTTGCAGAAACCAAACATTAATTTTAGACTCGGGCTACATAATATCCAACTTCAGTATTTATTCTACATTTACACTCTCCATGTTAAATCCATTTTATAAAAATAATAGTTGAATTTTTATGACCAAGAGACATATTTTACATATTTAATATCAAAGAAGGGGCTTATTAAACGTAGTTTAGAAATGTTAATAGTAAAATTAGCATTTAGGTATTTAATTTCAGTGTTTAATGCACATGTTTACGTTTCACCTTTTTTTTAATGATACGTATTTATATTAAAACCACTACTGGGCGTAAGATTTTGAGAGGAATAAATATAATTAGATAGAAACGTGTGTGATATATAAATAGATAGTTCAGGTTAAGAGGGGGAAACCTCGAGAAATGTGGCGTTGTGTCAGAAATAATACTACCGTGCATTGAAAACCTTTTTATCAAAGGTCAATGAATACAAAAAGTGTTGATAAAAAGCAAAAATTCCAACTTTTCAAACAGCAAGTTTCTCACTTTTCTAGCATGAGTTATCAACTTTTCTAGAAATAAGTTTCTAACTTTTCTAGAACTAAGTTTCAAACTTTTCTAGCAATAAATTTCTAACGTTTTCTAGTAATAAGTTTCTAACTTTTCTAGCATGAATTATCAACTTTTCTAGAAGTGAGTTTTTAACTTTTCTATAACTAAGTTTCTAACTTTTCTAGCAATAAGTACTTATCTTTTCTAGAAGCAAGTTTATAACTTTTCTAGTGGTTAGGTACTAACTTTTCTACCAGTAAGTTCTTAGCTTTTTTAGCAGAAGGTACTTAACTTTTCTTGCAGTAAGTTAACAACTTTTCTAACAGTAAGTTCCTAACTTTTCTAGAAATAAGTTTCTCACTTTTCTAGCAGTAAGATCCTAACTTTACTAGCAGTAAGTTTTTAACTTTTCTAAAAGTAAGTTTCTAACTTTTCAAGCAGTAAGTTCCTCACTTTTCTAGCAGTATGTTCCTAACTTTTCTAGCAGTAAGTTCCTCACTTTTCTAGCAGTATGTTTCTCACTTTTCAAGCAGTAAGATCTTGACTTTTCTAGCAGTAAGTTCCTCACTTTTCTAGCAGTATGTTCCTCACTTTTCCAGCAGTAAGATCTTAACTTTTCTAGCAGTAAGTTCCTCACTTTTCTAGTAGTGTGTTCCTAACTTTTCTAGCAGTATGTTCCTCACTTTTCTAGCAGTAAGTTCCTAACTTTTCTAGCAGTAAGTTCCTAACTTTTCTAGCAGTAAGTTTCTCACTTTTCTAGCTTTTCTAGCAGTATGTTCCTAACTTTTCTAGCAGTATGTTCCTCACTTTTCTAGCAGTAAGTTTCTTACTTTTCTAGCAGTATGTTCCTCACTTTTCTAGCAGTAAGTTTCTTACTTTTCTAGTATTAAGTTCCTCACTTTTCTAGCAGTATGTTCCTAACTTTCCTAGAAGTAAGTTTCTAACTTTTCTAGCAGTAAGTTTCTTACTTTTCTAGTATTAAGTTCCTCACTTTTCTAGCAGTAAGTTTCTTACTTTTCTAGTATTAAGTTCCTCACTTTTCTAGCAGTATGTTCCTAACTTTCCTAGAAGTAAGTTTCTAACTTTTCTAGCAGTAAGATCCTAACTTTTCTAGTAATAAGTTTCTAGCATTTCTAGCAGTAAGTTCCTAACTTTCTTTTTCAATGGTTTCTATTTGACGATAATTTGTGAACTACAGAGAAAAACTTCAACGATCTGTCATGTTTCCCCCCACTTCGCCTACTAAAATACAGGTGAGAGTTTAAAGATCTTTTTATAAATCCACGAAAAAAAATCACTGCAAGTAAATCTACGAAATCTAAATCTAACTTGAGAAAAGATAATACAAGTTCTTAGTGCAGAAGTTATTTGACTTACAAACTAAAATTTGCATAAAATATTTGAAGTTGACCGGAGTTTGATGTTGTCAATTAAAAATCTTATTTTGATAGAACAAAATTGCAAAGCTTAAAACTGTTTTGTAATTAAATACAAGACCCCGCTTCATCACTGTTGAATTGTAAAATAGTATTGAACCTTTTTAGTGCTTAAATAATAATTTTCAGTATAAATCCGGAAATATTTAAAGGAAAGCTATAATTTAATGTTCATTAGTTTAGAAAATTAGTAAAAATGTCCTGAACATTTATCTACATTTGATTTGATTTCAGTATGAATTTTGAACACGTTTCGACACAACTCGTTATACTGAGGAGCTTTAAATAATAATTATTAGTTCAATGTACTTAGGATGCAGTGCTAAGGATCCGGATCCGACTTTATTTAGAAACCTTTAAACCAGAGTGTTCAGGATCAGGATTAGAGGTTATTTAGGAAACCACACTGAATCTTTAAACCACTGTGGTTCCGATTCCGGATTAGACTTTATTTAGGAAACCACACTAAATCTTTTAACCCCTGTGGTTCAGATTCCAGATCAAACTTTATTAAGGAAACCACATTAAATCTTTAATCCAGTGTTCAGGATCCGGCTCCGGCTTTATTCAGTAAACCACATTAAATCTTTAATCCAGTGTTCAGGATCCGAATCCGGCTTTATTCAGTAAACCACAGTATTTAGGATCAGGATCCGGCTATATTTAGAGACCAAATTAAATCTTTAAACACCACACACCCTGTTCAGAATCTAGATCTGGCTTTCATTATTAACCCACATTTTATCCTTAAACCCCATCCTGTTCCGAATCCGAAACAGAATAGAAATTGGAAACCACAGTACATCCTTAAAAGTGTTAAGAAAAAAAATAATTAAGTACTTAGTATAACCAATCATAGATAAAAACGTTTTAAACTTTCATATATTTGGTGTATCTATTTTAAAATAAAATGCTTGGGATCCATATTTATTGTTCTATAATATTTTGCCAAAGAAAACGTTATTTTAAAGAGAATTTTTGATAGATTTTGAAGAGAATAAGATAGGAAAAGTTTTTCCATAAAATAAGTACAAATTTTTATTTAAGTCTTTGAAACAAACTCTGATATTCTGAACACCATTTTAATGTTGTAGACCATCGATAATTCAAACTATGAATTCTGAAAGATAAAATAATCTAAGTTTGAAATATCTAAGGTATGCACAATCAGATTGCAAAGATTTAGTGATTAGAAAATTTGAGTTTATGGCAAACACTTAATTCTTTTTCCACTGCAATTACAGGGGTACACATAAACCCCATCCCATAAAAACTAAATTCTCAACATATATAAAACGGTTTGTGTAAAAATAAGGCAGAATTTTCAATATATTTGTCTTTACCTTCTCCCATCCTCCTTGAGCAGTGACTAACCAGTACAGCAAATACAGATCTATTTCATGTCCGTTGATACAGGGAATATGCCGGAAAATCGTCCTGAATTTTAGCAAAATATCAAATTTTATTTTTTTAAAGGTTTCGATGCAGAATTTATAATTTTCATCGGAATTTGAAAATACACATTAAACATCAGGATAATAACGGGCCAATGTCAGCCAAGAACATTGTAACGAATATGTTTTGTTTGTACAGTGAGAACCAGAAAACTCTAGAATAAGAAGACGACTTATTAAACTCAAGTTACGACTTTAAAAAGTCCAATGAACATGAGACACACAAACTGTGCAATGTAAGACCCATTTAACTTGAAAAGTTTTTTCATAAGTTATTATTAAATCTACTGGCGTTGTAAAACATTCAATATAATTAAGTACTTCTATGAAGTCGTCTTCCTGTTCCACAGTTCTCTGGTTATTACTATGGAAAATCTTAAATCTAAAAAAAATTAGTTTATAATTGATGATCTGCTTTCAACGACTGTTTTTAGACTCGAAATTCCATAGTCTGGTTCAAATACATATTCTGGGCCAGTGGCAAAATACTAAATTACAAATAAATTTCAGTTTGAAATAATGTGCAACTCTTGCGGGCGCGCGAATTCAAGTGCACATTAGAAAGTAACCGCTCACGCGCTTTATTTTATGCATCATACTAATTGTAATAAGAATACTAGAGATTAAAAAATCTTACCCTTTTTGTTCATGAAACTTTCGTAATTCTCGTACAAAATTTTCCTGTTCCTGTGAATAAACTGCGGGGTCTTTGTTTAAAACTTTGGCCATATTTCGGCTTTAAATCACAGATGTAACTCTAAAATCACTTCATTTTTATTCGTCTGCCTAGCTTGGTGCTGAGTTGCCCGCCTACCCTGCGGAGGGGGGCGTATAGGTTGAGAGGAGCGGATGGGACAGAATAATTTGAATGTGTATCTCTGTATGTGTTCCAGTCATACAGACGCTACTTAGACTCCACCAACTAGACAGTTAGGGCACACCACCTAACAAAAATAAAATAATAAAATAAATTTCAAAATCCACATATATTTTAAACCAAAAGTGTTAATAAACTATTTCTTTAGAAAAATTCTAATAAAAAATGATTCAAAAAATATTTTATTGATTTATCTAAATTATTGGAAAGTAGTATTTTGCCCTAACTGATTACCTGCCGGTTGAAATAATTTTGCCCCGCGCTGCGAAGTTACAGCCCTTCTCGCGTGTTTTACACCCCCAAAATGCTAATTAAAACCATGCCGATAATTTTTGCATCTGAAATTTATATTTTTATGATTTTAAATGCCATTTTTCACAAAAGGATATGTGGCCTCACTTGGTGCAGGTTGTCCTGTCTGAGAATCCCGTTTTCAATATGGCGATACAGGAGCCAGCTTTCTTCTACCGGCACCCAGGCGAAATACACAATACATCAATATCACTAGATGGGAACACTTTACACAAATTCTAATTTTACCAAAATTATTTAAAATTGGTAGAATTTCCTTCTTAACGTAAAAAATCAACCTCTCTGCATAAGAATTTCGGAAAAATCATAATTTTATGGAATGAATTAAAGCGCGGATTTGATCTCGCGGAGATCTAGTTTAGCTACCAACCGTAAGGACAGCTTGAAGTTGAACTGAATACAGTACAGCTGCGGTTGATAAACAAATTTACGGTTGGTAGCTCAGGAAATAAAAACAGCTGATTATTATAAGAATTAAAACTGGTTTTTGCTGAATTGAATAAAAATAAATAAACGTGGGTTAAAAATTTTTCGTTTTCAAGTAATTAATAAAATAATTATTATTTATAATTAGTAATTATAAATAATAATTATTTCTGATTTAAGATACCAGTAATTAGGTATGAAGAAAAGTATCAGCCATGTAATCTATCTTGATGTAATTGCGAAATCAATTTATTTTATCGATATTTTAGATTATAAAAATGAATTTTTTTAAACAGTTAAAAGAAGTGTCGCTCCGGGGGAAATTATTAACAGGTAAACAAGCAATAATTTGTAATTACCCTAACCGTGAATTAATATAAAATTTGTGTACATTTTTATTAAGCCAAACATCTTTCTGTAGAATTGAGCTGCATAATTATTAAGAATTTCCATCCCCGACCTCCCCACTCTCCCATTTCAGTCAAAACTATAACGCTCCCTCGCGTGCCATAATGTTAAAAATGATTTTATCACGTCTCTGGAAATTAAAATGCACTAATTTTTTTTTTTACAAGTTCGCAGACCCGAGCTAGAAACTTTAGAATGATGGATATCGGGATTAATGCTTTTCAGCTCAGGCTGATTTTTTTTATAGATTTAAAGATGTGTATTTTTCTTTTTCTACTTTTAGGTGCTACTGTAGCCCTCGGAGGATATATCTTTGCTGAAGGCTACATGAACATTTAATTATAGATTATAGTTTCAATATGTAAATGGCGGATTTACTGCAAAAATCAGTCTTTATTTATAGCCATATATTTCTTATACAAATGGAGCACCCATGCATATTGTATCATCATATGGTAGGACGAACCTCGTCAGTCGTATCTCCCGTCTTTTCCTTACTCACTGGTCAGAAAGGTAACACTTTCTGATGCGCATGAATTGCTCTTCATAGCGCCCAGCCTCTAGCCTGTTCTAGCCACAGTGCTCGGCCCCCCTAGCCTGTCCTAGCCGCTAGGGGGGGAGGGTCTAAAAATCGTTCTCTAGGACAGACCCTAATTATGACCTCAATTACCTCACTCAATTTAAACTTGAATAAAGTAGAACGAAAGACTCTGTACAATTGTCTCTATTTTGTAAAAGTCCTAACCTGAAGTCTGATAACCTTTAATTTTAAAGGTTGCAGAAGTGTTTTAATGAAGATTGAACAAATGATTATACGAACTAACTTTCCGTGCAAGCATGTGAAACAAACTAGCGAATAATCTAAGAATGATAAAGAATGTTCATGTCTTATAGATGTATTCAACAGAAAGCCTACAGTATCAGTTATTACTCTTCAAGGAACTATAATGGCAGGTATCATTAAAAAGATAAAATATAAATGTTATCATGAAAGTAAATTAAACCCTTTCTTATTTTACTAAAGTTATAATTATGTTATAAATAATAGTATATAATAAAGTTTTCAAAAGTAAAAGCCCAAAAACATAATTTCAGGTGGATCTGGATTCAACAAGACTCCTCCTATTAACTTGGAAGGAACAAGGGAAAATATATTTAAAACAAGAAATTTAAATAAATAGAATTGTGTAAAACAACAACAATTATTTGACATTATACTATATTAACAAACAAACAAAAAAATCCTTATGAAATTAATTGCTTTAAATACTTAATCTTTGAAATAGAAAAATGATAGATAAAGCTTTTTCTCAACGTGACCTGAAAGCAGTTTTGTTAAGGTATTTATTAATATTTATAATATAGAAATAATTATTGAGTAGCAAAGAAAAGCAAGAATTATGAATTTTAAAAATATTTGTTTGTATTGAATAGAAATTTAACTCGATAGTAGCACAATCATGCCTTATTACAGTTCAATTGTACAGTGCATAATTTGTATGGTAATAATCTCTCTTAAATTCCAGTCTAAGCTCACGTGTAAAGTTTAAAATGTAAGCTGTTCATTGTACAGTATAGAGGTATATGGTAATATGTTCACACTGCATAGTACGAACTCAATTTTTGTATGAATAATAATATTTTTTACAGTTAAAACAGTTTACAGAGATAAATGATTCTCTTTGTACTGCGTGAACTCATTTGCTAATTGTACAGTTGTACAGAGATAAATTATTCTCTGTACGAGAATTTAGTTTTGTTGTGTACAGTTAGTTATACATGGATAAATGATAATATTTGTGCAGTTTGAACTTATTTGTTTAGTGCACAGGGCCGGAAAGTTTATTAAATTTATTCAATGAACTTATTAGTATAATGTACAGGGATACATTACTATTTTTGTACAGTGTAAACTCTCCTGGGGGTAGTGCAGTACAATCTGATTTAGTAAGCAGTTATATCAAGGTACTACATTTTTCATTACAAAACCAGGCAAACTCTCTATTGTTTCTTTAATCTTCTTAAATTATTTTTTACCGCCTTCCGACCTATGAATTCGCCAACAGAGGGAGGTTGGGTCACTTAACGTCCCTTGGGACAGTTATGTAAAATAAACACCCGCTCTGAGAAGTTTTTGTGAAAAAATTCGCAATTTTCTTCTTAAAAGACGATAAAATTGTGTACTTTGTACAACTGCTTTTTCGGGAAATTAAAAATTTTACTTAACCTATGGTTCCCTACGATCAATTCTGTCTAAAAAAATCCCTCGCTGCGCTCTGGATGTTTTTTAGGCAAATTTGGTCTCGGGAACCCTTGGTAAAGTAAAATTCCCTCAACTTTCTTGAAAAGTAGTTTTAAATAAGAAAAGCCTCGTCAAAAAATTGGAAGAATAATATATACAATATATATTACAATTGACTTGAATCAAATCTCAAATAAATGGAAATTTTTTTATTGAAGTTTATTTATTTGTTAGGCTAAGGCTGAGAAGGAGAAGGTGGAGGTTATTGTGTTTGTTGAGGATGTTGCAGCCTCTGGAGGTTACTGGCTAGCCTGCACCGGGTCTAGGATATACGCTTCAAGGTAAGAGGTCTTGATATCCTGGGCTGGCCAATTTAAAAATTGCTTTGCGCATTTAAGTTAGTGTAATTGCACAATTTGTGCACCGTAAAGTTTACGCAATTTTTCAGTATTGTCGATAATTGGTCTACACTAAAATATTGCTCAGATGAGATTATTATTTTTATATCTGAAAATTCCAAAAAACATGCAACAAGTTTCATATTCAATCAAGTATTAGGTCAGAAAGAGGGAGTAAGGAATATAAGGGAGATACAACTGACGCGGTTCGCCCTACCATATGATTATGCATGCTTTGCAGACGGTCACTCCATTTGTAATATTCAGAATAGGTTATTGTATACGCGGTAATTGTACATCAGCCATATATTTCTTATACAAATGGAGCACCCATGTATATTGTATAATCATATGGTAGGACGAACCTGGTCAGTCGTATCTCCCGTCTTTTCCTTACTCACTGGTCAGAAAGGTAACACTTTCTGATGCGCATGAATTGCTCTTCAATCTTTTTGGTTGTTCACATCACAAACCTTTACAAAACTTGCATTTTTGACACAGCATATGTATAAACCAGCGAAATTGTTGAACTATTTCAAAGATTTGTTGTAGGAGTAGTGTGGTAGGAAGTATAGGAGTTATATCCTCTGGATTAGGTTTTCATGAACTTATTGAAAAATACGGAGTTGAGAGAAGAGTTTTCACTGCAGGTATTCTTAATCTTTAAAAATCATCCAGATAAAACATTTTTGAATCTTTTAATTTGTTACAGAGAAAAATATATTTTAGTTAATTATAAACAGTCTCTTTGATACTTTTTTTATTAATTAAAGTTTTAAAATGACTTGTTTAGGAGAAAACAAATCAGTATTGGATCCTCTCTCCCCCCTGAAGGAGTCAGATGTTAAGATTATCAAAACTATACTAAATGATATTCATCAACATTTTATTAATCATGTAAAGGTATGTTTATAATGATAATAATGCTGATGATGATGATAATGATGATAATGATGGTAATGATGATAATGATGATAATGATGATAATGATGATAATGATGATGAAGATGATGATGAAGATGATGATGAAGATGATAATGATGATAATGATGACAATGATGACAATGATGACAATGGTGACAATGATGACAATGATGATTATGATGGTAATGATGGTAATGATGGTAATGATGACAATGATGACAATGATGACAATGATGAAGACGATGATGACGATGATGACGATGATGACGATAACGACGATGACGACGATGACGACGATGACGATGGTGACAATGGTAATGATGGTAATGATGATGATGTATAGGGTAGCAGAGGAACTAAATTACGAGGGGAAGATAAAGAATTATTTAATGGCGAGTTCTGGACCGGGCTTTCTGCCGTAGAACTCGGACTCATTGATGGAATTGATAATCTAGGTTGGTTCAAATTATTTAAAGATAATATAGGTTAGTTTAAAATATGTATAGATAATCTAGGTTGGTTTAGATTATTTATAGATAATCTAGGTTAGTTAAAAATATGTATAGATAATCTAGGTTAGTTCAAAATATGTATAGATAATCTAGGCTAGTTCAAAATATGTATAGATAATCTAGGTTGGTTTAGATTATTTATAGATATTCTAGGTTAGTCCAAAATATGTATAGATAATAAGGTTAGTTCAATATATTTATAGATAATCTAGGTTGGTTCAAAACATATATATAGATAATTTAGATTTATTCAAAATATTTATAGATAATCTGGGTTGGTTCAAAATATTTATCTATTTATTTATTTAATTTTGCTTGTTTTTATCCGTTTACGTTAATACGGCTTAAGTGAAAGAGCCCAATTTCTTTTATGGTAATTTAGTCACCTGGCTTCAGGGAATGTATATGGCCGTTCAGATTGAGTAAATGCTGAAAAACAAAAAAATGCAACATCTTTTTTGGTATTATATTAAAATGATTAGGTTAGTTCAAACTGATTTTTCAAGTACGTCTAAAAATAACATATATTTCAGGTTCAAAAATCACTTTTCACATAGTAAAAATTGGCTTACTTGTCATTCTTTATATGTTGCAAAGAATCAAATAATATTTGAAAGTTGATGTCTTGTTTCAGACGCGTTTATAGAAAGAGAATATGGAGATACGGTAAGAAATTTTTATGCTTTGACAAAATTTATAAATTGAAAATTCCCTAATTTTATAAAAAAAAAAAAAAGGCAATGGTACTGACTTATTCAAGAAGAATCAAAGAAGTGGTTAAAAGTTATATTTTCAATATTTTCCAAAGCTTCACAACTTATTGAAAATATTTACCCCTGTTCTTCCTTAGGTTAAAGTATTCCGGGCCAAACGTCTCACTGGACTCGCGGGTCTTCTCTCTACATACCTGGAGCCGAAACTTTCTGTTCTAGAGAGGTTCATCCAGTCTCCTGGTCTCCAGGCCCCCTCAGAGATACAAGCTTTCAACGCGACCGACACAGCAGCAAACCAGTTTGCGAGAAATAATCTGAAATGAGAATAAGTTAGATGTTTGAAGTTCAGGACTTGCTGCAAAATTCATTTTAAATAGCGCTCTAATTTTTCAAATTTTTCGTATGAACGAACGGACTTTATTCTAAACAGAAGTACGAAATTGCGCATTCAATTTCCATGAATTGTTCAATTAAATTTAAAGTCTATATTTTAGCATATATTTATATTTATTTATATATATATAACTTTATTTTTTTACATATTAAGGCTATGGTAAAAATAATGACTAAAATAAAATTTTGAATTCATTGGTTAACAAAGACGACCTAATAATTTCAGAAAATAAGAATGCCGTATAAGCAGTATCAGACTAACGCCAGGGGTGTATATGCACGTAAGCAGGGTCCAGGAACAGGGGCAAACAATATGATTATCAATCCAGTACAGTTTTCAAGTAATACACAACCTGGGGACTCAGTAGGTAACTTGAGGCTTCACAGCACGCTTTAATGAGTTATTCGAAGGTTGCAAAGACAAAAAATTAATCGACTTACAACACCCTTTTTAATTAATTAACTAACATTCGTAAAGATTTACTAAATGTTTTAAAATTTTCAAAATTGTTTTTTTTCTTTTTTCACGTTTTTATTAATCATGAATCATAAGTGATCAGGAAGCTCTAACTAATCTTTCATATTCATTATTTAAGAATTAGGACTTGATTAAGAGCAAACATTTGTTTTAAGCAGGTTAAGGTAGCTATTTTGACCCTCGGCTCCTGGTCCATTAAGCCACAATGTTTCGGATCCAACTAAACAGTGAATCACAGTTGAATTTTTTTATTCTTCAACAGAGAACCCACAAAAGATGAAAATGGTTTGTCATGACTTATTTCATTTTTCTAATCTTTATTAACAATAACGTCTTAACTCGGGGGTGGTTGACCAAATTTACCTTAAATTTACCATACATGGAACGATTAATTTCAAATGATTATCCGTTTAATGAGTGGCACATCCCTTTAAAGATTTGTCTTATTAAAAATTATACATGAGATAATCATCAGCGCTACTTTCAAAATCGATTATGTTCAATTTTAATTTCTATATATAGTGACTGGGGAATTTCTGCTTCACAAGAGCCCGGGATATGTCAATTTTCCTTGAAAAACGACGAAATTATTATCATAAAGATTTATTCACACACAAAAATATAAATATATATATATCAAAATGGTGTAGTTTAAATTTGTTTAAATAAATTTTTGAATATATAGCTTTACAAAAGAAAAAAGAAAAACATGCAAAATTATGCACAAATAGGCGATATTGATCATTACTCATTGCATAATATATTTATCATTTCAGTTATTACTTAATTATTGAATCCTTCAACATATAAATTATTCGTTCTTGTATTTAAAAGTTCTTGTAAAACCGGAACTTTCCATGCATGGTCGGGGTCCAATGGGACATCAAAATATTTCATTTGTTTCTTAACTAACATTTTACTAAGATCAGAAAGATTTACTGAACAATCATTTGCAATGGAAAATAAATTTCTGCCAAGGTCATTTTTGCATAAATTAGAAAGAAATCTAATGCAAAGCTTAGAACCTACTTCAATAGTCTCATAGAAAGACACAAATCTGCTAGCTAAAATAGTCTTTACGTGTAAACATAGTGAAATACTTTCAATCAAGTACCTATGCGTACCTCTAGGTACATGTTTTATAAAATAAAGGTTTAAAAGTTGCAGTTGTTCTTGTTAATCAGGAAAATCCTGAATAAAATTGAATTTCCCTTAAAATTACAATTCCTTGAAGATTTACATTCATCATATTTGAGGAGTTTAAGGGCGTTAGAGAGTCTCCTCCTGTGTTGTTAACACTGTACATAGATTTGATTGATTGATTGGATTTGATTGATTGATTTGATTGATTGATTAGATTTGATTGATTGATTAGATTTGATTGTTTGATTCATTGATTTGATTTGATTCATTGATTAGATTTGATTGATTGATTAACATTTAATTAACGTATCTAAAGGCGAGCACCAACATAGATAAATCGGGGGGGGATATGCAAGAACTCTGAAATATGTACACTGATAAAATATCAGCAAACTCAGCGCGACAATGTTGTTTATACTTTTCTCAGAAATGTCGCCCTGAATAGTTTTTTTCTTTTGTACTTTTTTACAATGGATATACTTTTTGGTGCTTCAAAGAACTATAAGCGTAATTTGTAGTGACCCTACATGCAAAGATCGCAATGTCCGATTTACAACGGTACCTTCGAAACCTTAATCTGGTCAAAATTGTGGAGATACCGTTGTTCTTCTGATAATTTCGTCGTTGCTNTAAAGCTAAATTGAATAAGAGATATTAGTTGTGATGTTGTGAATCGGTTATGACCCTGTTAATTCAGAAATTTTAATAGAATATTTTTCTCGTCGGCTCTCAAAAATATATTTTCAGTTGAAGAGGATGTAGAGATGAAGGATGCTTCACTTCATAAAACAAAAGTAATTTTCTTTCTCAAAGTCTAAAACTAAAGAATGCGCGAAATTTAAGTTATAGCGTTCTTTAAAATAATGCGTTGCTACTTAAAAATTGGGAAAATACAGGATTTCAAGATTTTAACCCTGGGTTTAAATATTAACTCGATAATTTCTGCGAGTTAAATATTTAAACCCAGGGTTAAAATTAAGTGGCATTTAAGCTGAAACTTAAAATTTAAGTCGGAACTATTCGTTCTTTAGTTTTAGACTCAGGGGATTAAAAAACCGACTTTTCATAGAAGTCAGCAAAACAGCAAATAATGTGTTAATAATTTTGACATCATATAAAAGTTGTAAAAGGTATTTCATATGTAATTTTATTTGGCCCTCCGGCCTACATTTGTAGTTCGATAGAAAATTAATTGGAGGGTAATACTTTTTCTCTAAATATCTTAAGTGTTCCAGCACTGGGCAGTTGCCACTCTATGACGTATTGAAGTTCCGGCAACCAATTTTTAGAAATCACGTGCTGTCTTTGAATAATTTTATCATTAATAGTAGCTTAATAGAATTCCATCCTCATCAATTTTTTTCTATTCATGTATTTATTTTAGAATGGTGGCATACAGAAGAATAAGAAGAAAAAACAAATTAAACAGAGCAAGTTAAAGTAAGTTAAATTAAGTTTTAATTTAATTTAAGTAATTTAACAAGTTTTTGCCCTTTCAGTATTTTTTTGAATCAGCAAATACAAGATAAATTTACAAACAAATAAATATAGTAAGAAAAAAAACACAAAGTAAGTTTTTTTATTTTTTGAGGCTAAAATTTCCAATCTAAAAGTTCGCATATGAATTTGATATTTTTATATCACTCTGGTGTTTTTGTCATCATTTATCCATCGAATTGTCTTTTAGGATCCTGTTCTTAAACTATTTGGGGTTTTGGGTTATCTTCTATCTGATTTTGATGGTTGATTTTGGGTTTTACCATCTTGTGTGGTATTTTTATTAACACCCTTTAGCAAAGGATAGTTTTATTAAAGATTTTTTTCTCGAGTTTTCATTATTTTCAATCTTTTCAGACGACTTGTTCCTCCGAAATCCCCCTTCTGTGTACTTACTGAACTTGCAAATGGACTTGCAATTACAATAAACTTTAAACAGTCGTCAGAGGTAATCGTTCCGTGTATTAATTAGGGTGGGTCAATTTTGGAACCAAGCTTAGGGTCATAATAATATACCGAACTATTACAAGAACTATGCCAAAAAAATTATTAAATTAAAAAAAATGAGCTAAGAGCCATGTTAAGAAAATAATAAATATTATATCATATCTGTTCGGTTCCAAAGTAGTAAACCTATCGTGTAAGAATTCCCATTATTACACGGTTCAGGAGGAACAATTTTAATATTGTTCGCTTTCTAGCGTTTAAGAATGCTTATTCTTACACAGTAGGTGTAGAATTTTCATTCTTTAACGCTCAGACCGTGTAAGAATGTATATTCTTACACGGTCATAGCGTGAAAGAATGTATATTCTTACACGCTCCGAGCATTAAAGAATGGAAATTATTACACTAAACAGTCGGATTTCACCAGAAATATCTTTTACTATAATTTCTTGGGTATGTGCCCATGGAACCTCACAAATATGATATAATAATAATCTTATGAGGATAAAAATGTAATAATGGAATTCTTAAACTCGATGAACTAATCTTGATGCATTCTTTAACTCAAGCCTGCGGCCTTCGTTAAAGAATATATCAAGATTAGTTCATCTCGTTTAAGAATTTCTATTATTACATTTTTTTCCTCATAAGATTATCATAATACATAAAAAATCTTGTTATATTTTGATATATTTTAATATATTGCTATATTGCTATATTGCTATATTGCTATATTTTAATAATTTGCATTGTAAACCACTGTAAATATGCAATTAGCATATTTGGCTTTTTAAGAGGAGATATTTTTTTTGCTAAAAAACCAGGGCTTAGGATCCCGATCCGGATCCGGATCCGCAAAAATGGTTCATCAAGTTTTAGGATATAAATAAGCGAAAAAAGTTAAACAAAAAATTTGAAATAACAAAAAATTATTTCAGTAAATCTTTAAGAAATTACCTTGATCCGGATCCATTTTTTTCCAGTGCGGATCCAGGATCCGGATCAGGATCTGCATCAAAATTAAGTGAATCCTAAGCACTGTGAAAAACATTGAAAAAGGAGAAAAATGGGGAAAAAACTAATTTTCCTCAATTTTTTTCTTTTTGAAAATACTGTCCAATTGAAGTTTTTGTGCAAAAGATTTTTTTATTTTTTGGTGAAAAACCTTTTAAAAAAAAACATGGATTTTTGTTTTAATTAAAACAAACACAAATGATGCCCTTATGCAAAATTTCAATAAGATATCTAAAAAAATGATTTCCACATGTAACTAAATTAGTGAAAGTATTTGCCCGGCGTCCGCTTAGTTCTCATCTATATATTTAAAGTTGTAATCTCTGTTTGTCTGTTTGGTTATCCGATCATAACACAGGAACCCCTGGACCGATTTACCTCAAATTTTGATTTGGGGAACTCGGGAGACCCACGGGAATGTTCTTGGTTTGGTTCTAAGATTCTAAGTTGAGTGGGTCGACTCTTATTGCAAAAATGTAGTTTCCTGGTAAAATTGTTCAAGTGCGGGTAAATGGCGGGAGTAACTATAACCTAGCAGCGCTGGGTTCCCAAGCTAGTCTCCTAAATTACAATTTTTTAGGTGTCGCATGTGAGCATACCCTTGTACAGCTGTACATTAACTATAAATAAGATCTCATACTCAGGCATCGGGCCGAGCAAGGTTTGTGAAATCAAATTGATTATTTTTCTGTAGCAATAATTTCAAAAATATTAGGTTCATTTTTAAAAATACATAATTTTTCTATTTTTTGCCATTAGATGCCTTTTATTGATTAATTGAATCATTATTCATTGAATCATTATTCATTGAATCCAATGATTCATTAATTTGTTTATTCATTGATTCATTGATTTATTGATTGTTTGAATCCATTATTCATTAAATCATTGATTTAATTGATTCGTTGATCAGTTGATTCGTTGATTCAATTAATTCAAATAATTCAATTGATTCAATTGAATTATTAAATCATCAATTTATTGACTTTTAAATATACCTATTGATAAAAACATCTATTTAGCATTGATTCATGGCCATTGTTATTTTCTCATTGCTTATTTATTTATCGATTTGATCTTTTAACAACTTTTTTTGTAGGATATCGCTAAGAATATAGCAGCAGAACAGGCAGTTGTCCAATTAATAAAAGACCGGCACGGTCAGCTGCCTGCTCATGGGGCTAGTGAGGAGATAAACGCTACAGTACAGGAGTCTTTTAACAGTTCATGGCAGGGTCTAGCCAGCCTTGCAGTCTTTAAACTCTTAAGCGACTGGAAGTCACAGGTTTGTAAAATCTTCCCATTAAAGGGAATATCGACATAAATTTGCCCAATTCCTAACTGTACCATTGACTACATTGGAGATCCTATTTCTTTTATAAACCTTCTAAGCAAATGCCTTGGTGTATGGAGATGGGGTTATCAGTGTAACTCAATTAGTTCAATGAACAATGAGATGTGGGATTTGAAACATAGTCGAAGGGTAACTCTAGAGATATGGTGAATAATGTATCCCCATCCCGACCCATAAAGGGGGGGGTTGAGCACTGCACATACAATAGCAATAATAGACATGAGAATGTAGAATGTCCAGGTGTGAGATTTGAAACATAGTCGAAGGGAAACTCTAGAGATATGGTGATTAATGTATCCGCATCCCGACCCATAAAGGGGGGAGGGAAAGCACTGCACATACAATAGCAATAACAGCCATGAGCTTCAATTACATTTTTTCTAATTGGTTGGGGTTTGTGTCAGACCTATACAATCATGTAGCACTCCTTATACTGTGCAAGCCCTATTATAGGTTATTGCAAGATACTGATTAGGATCACTTTTTTATTTAGGGATTAGAGCTACCCGAGCATTTTACCAGTGGATCATTATTGAAACAGCCCCGATTACTACACAAAAGTCANAAAAAATAATCCATAATGAAACAGCAGAGTCTTTCATCCCTTTTTTCTGTGGTTAGGGCTGTCTAGTGTATGGGTTGTTATTATTTTTTATTATATTATCATATTGCATTAGCTCTAAGAATAAAGGGCAATATAAGTACAGATGACTAAATAACCCTTTGTTCTACCAGCACATTGCATAAATTGCACATTTTGAAAATATTATTTTCCTCCTGAAGTTGGATATGATTTTTTGAGTTTTATTCGCTAAATTTTGGAGCATAAATGATTTCAAGGGGAAACCTATACATTTTTGGGTATAAAGTATATAAACAGGATGAAAAAGGATGAAAAAGGATGCCTTTTGATGGCTAATTTTTCATTGCTTCTTCGGGGGGAGGGGGGTGTAATCTTAAAAATATACACTGCTGTATTCATATTTTTGATGAATACATGTTCTAATCACAGGTTCCTTTCGAGATGAAACCAATGAAGAAGATGCCAGACAATCCCTCAAAAAAGCATCCTGTTATGCTGCTAAATGAACTAATGGTAAAAATTAATAAAAAACTAATGACTGGGTTTCGTAGATTTTGACAAATGAAAATGCCTCTTGATTTAACTTATCCAAATAAAGTAAGGATATTGTATAATAATAATAATAGATGATACATTATCACATGTGAAATAAGAAGCTGCTTTTATAGATAATTAGGCTTTTAGGATGCTTCGGGTCCATCTTCTATTTCGATTGTGAACATTTTCTCTTTGATAATATTGTAAAACAAAATCAAAAAAAGTTTGCGGTTTTTATTTAAAAAAACGTGGATTTTCAATGAAATCAAATTTTGCTGGGTCATGTGAGGTCCCACACAAAATTTAGGGCTCGATCGGTTCAGCCATATTGACGTTTATTGGTTACAAACAGACAGACAGACAAGCAAAGGATATAGATACTAGGCTTTTAGGGCCTCTTCCAACTGTGAACATGTTCCCTTTGAAAACATTAAAAAAAAAATTTCGCGGATTTTATAAAAAAAAATCGTTGATTCTCAAAATTCAGTCGTTTTGACGTTTATTGGATAAAAACAGACAGACAAGCAAAAATTATATTTTTCAAATTATTTTTTTTAGTTTTGACGAAGCTGCTTTTCAAATTTTAATGTATATAATTATTTTTTTTCTTCAAATTTGGAATTCAAGTTATTTAATATTCATAGCTCGTTTGTTTCTTCTTTTAACTCGTCGTTAAGAAAACTTTCACAAATTGACTCATTTATGTCTTCTCTCTTTCTTTACTGTTTGTCCCACGAAACATGACAGTTAATCACATCCCGGTTGGGCTCTTTTCGTCTAATATAGATTGGGAATAGGGGGGTTGGGGGGTTGGAATCCAACCCTCTCTGATTTTACTCCTTATGTGTAATAGAGATTGTAACAGGGGCGTGGTATCACACCCTCCTTTGAATTTGCTCGTTTCGTCTAATATAGATTGGGAGATGCGCCCTCCCCCCCCTCCTTTGGAATATACAATTTATAACAGTTGTAATATGAAAGGGAGGTGCTAAGGAGAACTACACTGATACTATGCTGGGTCGACCACCACACCAAACATTTATTGTCAAAATATGCATCCAAGGTAACTTTTTATACTTTTATGAAACTATTGTGTACTTCATTCTTATTTACTTCATGGTGATTTTTATTATGAACGTGCTATATAGTAATTAGCGTGCAATAAAGTGAAATTAGCTCCACGTGTGCTAAAAAGTTTTGATTGGTTCCTTGATTATTGGGATATTTCCAAAATATACTTTATATTTTTATTTCTGCTTTTTTAAAAAGCTTATTTTATCTAGAAATAGCAATTGTAAAAAGACAAGTACACAAACGTTTTATAAAATCACTTATAACACTATTATTTTGGCACGACGGGCTATGAAGTTTTTGTGCAGAAATTCTACAAGGTTCTTGCCTTTAAATGTTCTCAATAAAGAGAGAATTTCTATCCAAAGACTTCATAACACTGCAAACCAAAATAATAGTGTTTTTAATAGTTATTATATATTTAAATAATAAATTATGATTCACAACGCTACCCTAAAATAAACAAGAATGCATTTTTTTCTTGTCATAAATTTGATAAAGACAATTTTGATTCTAAATTATTGATCAGACAAATGTTGCAAAGGTCCTGAAAACAGGCACTTCCCTTTATAAATGAAGTGATTTTGAAATCACAACGTCAGATTTTTAAATTCATAAATGTCAAATTTGGTCGAGTGCTCTCTTATTGTTCAATAAAAACAAAATTTCTGCATTTTTAATTGATTCTATAGAACTATTTCATTTGTTAAGATATTGGTCTTCAAAGTCCGCACAACACTTTTATGTAGTTTTTTTTGCCAAGATGAACCCTTTCCAATGCAGGGTTGTATATTTCGAGAAAATTGGACAAAATAAATGATTTTATGGGTCAAAAGTAACATAAAGACTGATAATTCTGAAAATATACAACCCTGTCTAAATAAAAATTGTTTACTATTTCAGGCAACGAATATGAAGGTACTGCAGCAACAAAGAAAGAAGCTAAAGCTCGGTGCGCAAAAGCAGCTTTAGCCGGTCAATACAGCGTTGAATATTAGTCTCGCAACAGCTATAAATATTTGAACAAGAAATTTGTAAAGTATTCAAAGCTTTCTTGTGAAAATTTAGTGAAAAGAAAAAATTTACAACTTTTGTTATTTATCTGTTACTGTTACTTGTTTGTAAAATTATAATCACCAAATGTATGTGTAAATCAACTAATCTAAGAATAATTTAGAAGATATTTTCAGTAATTCATGCTATTCTGTAAATTATGTTCTATTTTTCCAAATTATGTAATGTTTCAAAAGTTTGTTTTTGTTCTAAAACGCGCCCAAGATTCAAATTCGTGAAATGTGCGAAAAAGTTTTCGAAAATGGTATGTGTTTGTATTAAAAAAGAACGATCACTCAGAGTTTTGATTTTAGAAAAGAAGTAATAGTGTAATTACAGTTATCGACGTGCTTAGTAATATGTTGGAAATAGTTTTTTTTTTAATGATATTTGCTCTCGGCACAGGAAGAGTTACAAAACGTTGATCATAGTATTTGTGCCCAAACCTGGCACTCGGTGTCAGGTTTGGAACATAGTGCGCTTGGGAACTTTCTTCCCCTGTAATGTTCGGTGTTTTCCTATCAAAAATGTGCTGTGGAGCGCAGATCGCCCTCATTTTGAAAGTGAGAAACCTTTTGTGACTTTTTAATTTAATACCTGGATTAGTATAATCCAGGAAGGTTTTTCATTTTTAGAAAGAAGGGTTTCGGTCCTGAAGCCCAGTTGTCGTCTAATTTCGTGTTCCTTTTAATGTCCAAAGATTAGAACTCTTAATGTTGCAGAAAAATGCCTGGAGGTTATAAACGGAAGAAGTATCATTTTGGAGATACACATCTCAAGAAAGGATGGAAACTAAAGCGAAGGACTAAGGTTAGAAGAGTAAACGACTTGAATGTTTAAAGTTAATTAAATCCCACAGTAAAATTGAAGTCTTTAAAAGGGATTCATGATTCAGGAGAATTTGGACCATATGAAATAGTTTTTTTTTCAATGGGTTAAATTTGTAATTGATTTTTTTCCACTAACGTAAAATGTGTGAATCAAAAATTGGAAAGTTACCGTTTCCGAAAGAAAAAAAAGGTTTTACTTCAATTTTTTAAAATTAGGCAGCTCTAAATAGTGTTGTTTATCGTTTTAAGAAAAAAATCAATAAAACTTCAACGATTTCAAAACTATTAACTATAGCTAAAAATAATACTAGTGCAAAACCGATTCGAAAACGATCGATACACATTCGTTTTCGCATCATTTTGGTTTCTTTTTTAATTAAAACTTCTGCCAAAATTTGAGATATTGTAAGATAAAAAATTTCCAATAAATTTGTTTCCTAAATTTTTACCCTGAAAGAAACTGTAAGATATAAACGACCGAAAACAAACCACTTAGCTCTGGTATGGTTGTGTGTATTCAGGATCTGGATGAGATAGATGTTGACCTGATGGAGGGGAAAGTGGAGAAACTTTTGACCCAAGATATTGATTTTGATAAACCCGGTCTTGCCCAGTTCTATTGTGTACACTGCTCGTAAGTTTTCGTTATTTTTTTAATGGGGGGGGGGGGGTTAAAAACTTTTAGGAGGAAAAATGTGATTTTAAAATCAAATAATTTGGAAGGTTTCGGTCTATTTTTATACTTAAATATTTATGCTTAGGAAACACTTCATCGATAATTCAGCGTTCCAAACCCACATCAAATCCAAGCCACACAAGCGTAGACTACATGCCTTAAAGGAAATAACATTTTTATATTTCTTAGGGAGGGAGGGGAGGGATGCGATTAAAATATTTTTTGTACATGCATTGAAAATTCTTGATATAAGAAAAAAAAATTTACATTTTTGCAAACGGTAATTTTTTTGAGCGAGTAATATTAAATCAGAGTTTAATCTGAAAAACAAAATATCTCAGCAAGCATTGCACATCAGAATTTTGACCTTTTCTGGCATTCCTTATTTTTAGTGTTATCGCAAATTTAATCCTCAAATTTGAGGTGCTTAAGTTTTTAACCCCCCCTTCCCCTCATAACTTTCGATGGGGGAGGGGGCTTGTCAAATACAGGGTGTCTTCGAGCTTTGCAAAGAGAAAATATAATTTTTAAGATAAAGAGGGACACTGCCTCTACCCCCTCCCCCCAGCAGCGAAAATGTTGTGTTGATTAGACGGAGCCGTATTCTATTGAGGAATCTGAGCGAGCAGCAGGATTAGGAAGCTACATCAAACCTAAAAAGAGAAAGGTGAAGTTAAAAAATAGTAATAGTAAACTCGTAGGATGCATATTCTGAGAGGGTTATGTAGGTTTCCCATACCCTTGTTCAAGCCTTTGTCTGATCAATAATTTGAAATTTTGTAGGAAACACAATTAACAATTGTCAATTTTAAAATAGAAATATCTCTTGATCAGACAAAGTGTATAATGTACGAGGTGACTTTTATTAAGAATTATATTGTAATTTCTTCATTAATTGGAGAATTCCCGTGATTGCTTGCTGGAAATGTACTGCTGTTACCGTTCGATTGCTTTATAAAAAAATCTGATAAGTAAAAACTTAGTCTTCCACCGGCAAGAGAAGAACCAAATCAGGGCCGCCCTAGCTGGCCTGGCTTTTCAACTTGTTGGATGGGGTACCCTGATTTGGTTCTACTCAATTGCCGGTGTAAGACTGAGTTTTTACTCAGAAAATTTTTGTATAATGCAATCGAACGGTAACAACAAAATCTTTCCAGCAAGCTATTAATCACGGAAGTTTGCCAATAATTAAAGAAATTTCAATATAATTTGCATTCTAGACCAATCTCACCTCGTATGTGGATACTGTCGTGAAACGGAAAGACACTTTTGACAGGGATGTCATTTAAATCTATTCAAAACAACATTTCATGGATGATCTGAGCGCAGTCCTAGCTATCTTATTCGTCGTTCAAAGTTCATAACGTATTACAAACCAGGGAAATTTTCCTTTCTTTAGCACATCATGAGATTGCTTCACTGGGAAAAATACGTAAAAATCGTCATGTAATATTTATTTATGATTTTTTTTTTCAGATGGAGACCTTGTTGCCTAACGCAGTGAAGGATGGGGAAACTCTTGCAGATGTGAAAAAACGTGCCAAAATCGACGGAGTTTTTGCAGGTTAGAAACGTGTAAAAATTCAGTGAATTTTTCAGAATAGGAGAAGGCTGAAATCCGCAGGTTTTTTTCTAGTCAGAAACTTTTTCTTATCTCCCCTCTTCTCATTGTGCGAGTGTTTTTGAACATTTTTCTAAACCAGTAAAATATGATTTAATATAATTTAGCCACAATCAAGGCTTCAGTCAAATCATTTAAAGTAAAGGGGGGGAGGGGGGTGTGGAATTGGACATCATTTGGCAAGTTTTTCCCATTATTATACTTACATATAACCATTTTTACCATATTGGAGAAAAAGAAATTTTTAATGATTTTTCAAAATTAATTATTATAAAGTACAGACGCATGCTTAGAGAAACAATTCCAACTGTATAGAGAAACCTGAGGTTGATGAGAAGGCCGGGGAGCATCTGGAAGAGGATCTTGATGAGAATGGTAGCGGAGGGAGCAGTGAAGATGAAGATGAAGATAAGGAGGGAGATGTGAGGATGTAAATTATCCTTCATTTCTATTTTCTCTTCAAGGCTCGTGATAAGAAATTTTTTCAGAATAAAAAAAAAATGTTGCTCGGGTCCAGCCGGGTTTTTGGGGCCCGGATACCTAGGATGAAGAGGAAGGATGTTGCTGATAGTCTGGAGAAAATAGGTTTGAGATTTATGGCTGGGTCAGCCCTTTTTGTTCCAGGTAATCCGCTTTAAATGGAGTGGCTGGCTAGGTATGATCGTTGGACTCAGAGCGTAGGATTAATTTGGAATCCATAAAATATTTGTACGGTGTATAATTTTTGATTAAGAGAACAAATTCACTCTTTAACAATCACGAAGATGGTCCATTCTTAAGACTTGCTCTCAAGAATCAATTTTTTGAAATAATTAAATAAACCTGACAAAAAAGCTCCACAAAAATCGTTCTATCAACTAATTTTTTTGTGGAATTAGACAATTTTTTTTAGATCGGTTGGATTAATTCAGGTAAGTTTTTTACTGAAAGGGGCTGTTAGTGATTGCAAAGGCGACAATGCCCAATAAAAAACCTCTATCTGAATAATAATATGGGAATATTGTAAGTTTTTTATATCTTAAATTGTTAAATTCTGATATCTAATACTTTTTTTCATGCAGTAGATATACGCAAATTACTTCAACCAAGAATTTAGAAAAATCTATTTTTTTCAATTCTAAACATTGATATTCATTTTTATAATTGATCAGACAAAGATAAAAGGTATCAATCCATTATATTTAATAGTAGACTAGATATTGATGAATTGATTGATAAACTAATTTTTTAAAATTGTTAATGTTGACTAGGTATTTGCTTGATTGATTGATTAATATATTGTTAGACTTGTTGATATGTTGACTAGTTATTTGCTTAATTGATTGAATAATATATTGTTAGACTTGTTGATATGTTGACTATTGTTTGCTTAATTGATTGATTAATAGATTATTTGAGTTGTTGAAATGTTGACTAGTTTGCTTGATTAAATGATGGGTTGACTTGTTGATTTAGTTGATAATTAATTTATCGATTGATTGATTGTTGATTGACTAATTTACTTCTTGATTGATAAATTGATAGTCAAATATTTGACATTTGACTAGTTGGTTGATTGATTGATTGATTGATTGATTGTAGAAGATATTGAGAGAAGAAAAGAAGAATTGGAGAAGATTCTAGAAAAAAGACGAATAAAAATAAACCTGGATAAATTAGAGGAAGATATTAAACAATATAATCTCATCAATATTAAACTTAAACAGTCGAAAAAGGTTAGTTTGACCCTTAATAAAATTGTAAACAAATTGGATTTATAATATTTATCCGCAGGATATAGGATCCAAGATCCAAGACCAAAAATTCTGTGAAATATTTAAAAATCTAATCAAGCTTTTTTGCCTGTTTTTTATGTTTTCCCATTTAATTTCTCTTTAATTCATTAACTTTTATCATGAAGTATAAAACCTTTTAGAAATTACATGTCCAATTCAATATGGTACCCTATAAAATAAGAACCAAGATATTTATTAGGGTACTTCAAAAAATTTTGAAATTCGAATGGCACTTAACGGAACGAAGTTCCTAAGGGTACAGACAAATCTGAAAATATTTCACGTCTTAACCTAGCCTCTGAAGTTTTTGCAGCTACGCGTACGAGGTTGCGTGATAATATTGACGAATTTTTACTAATTTCTCTTCATAACTTTGTACTTTATGAGATATTTTTTTTTTCGAACAACAAATATTCTTAAATACCACATTTAACTTAAAGAATCAAACCTTTTAATAAATTTTAAGGTTTTAACCGTAAAATATTCAAAAAATACAAATAATTCAGATTTTTTTTAGGATTGACATTTATATACAGATTTATTTACAGATAAATTTTATTAATAATAAATAGTTTGCATTGTCCAAAGTCCAACTGCAATATGATTTTAAAGATCTTTTATTTTTATTGTTTTAAAGGGGGGGGGGTGATTGGAATTAAGATACAATCCTTAGTCAAAGTTTAAGATGCAACTTTTGCATCAAGCTTAGCTTTCATCCTATAGAAGTGAATCGAGTGCAGAACATCTTGCTTTTTCTCCTCTTTCTTAGCTGATCCTCTGAAGTCCTAAAAAATTTACCAAACATAGTTTCTTAATTATTTTTAGCTGTTAAGTAATATCCAAACTGCACAAGTTTTATGGCCCGTTCTGCCACATCATTGGTGCAAACTATGTTCGTGCCAGTCTGTTCAAACTCCTTGAAGGAGTCATATAGAATCCACTCATCTGGGTTACACAGAAGCCAAGGAAGATCAATTTTTTAAAATCCAAGTGAATAGAAAAGATTCCAACTCCTTAAGATAAAATAAGATAAGATAAGATAAAGTTTATTGCTAAAATAAATGTATCTGTATACAGATAGATTTTACAATCACAAAATTGATGATTATATTAACAGTACAAGTATAAAGCAATTAGGTGGAAAATAGCTCTTGGCTGTTTTGATTATTTTTTCCACCTAATTTTAGTAATAATAACAAAATATTTCAATTAAATAGATTTAAGGAGAACGATTAGAGATCAGGGTGCAAATTTATCATATGCAAAATAGTTTATACATAAATTCGAATAACTAGAGTTTAAAGTAATTTTCAGACATGTACACAACAAATATCAAAGCATATTAAAACATATCTAATTAGTTTTACATGAA